CATTCCTAGCTTAATCTACATGCTAACTACGATATTTCTTAAGACATTTACTGCAACTTGCTCTGGTGCGTCAATCGCTTCTTCCGGCGAACTTCCGGCGAACATCCGACGAACCCTCTGTGATACTCCGATGGACTTCCGGCAAATCTCCTGGACTTGCGACAATCCACTTGGCGAGTTCCGACGAGCTTCTTTAGCAAACTCCTGGACTTCTCGGATTTGTTCCCGCAGAACCTCTGACGACCGTTTGGACTTCCGTCGAACTCTCAAACCCCCAACGTGATCATGGTCTTGACTCCGACGCAACTCCTGCTGTATGTCTTACTGTCATCGTAGTTAGTCCTGCATATGTAAAACAAACTTCGATCTAGACAATTAATACTAAGCATTAATCAAGTTGTCCGGCATGTCATTGGTCCCTCGACGTTTCGTCCGATTCTTCGGCGCATGTCCTCTCTTGCAGCCTATTGCCCAATCGGCCAGTTGACTCTGCAACTCCGATATCCTTGGCGCAATACATACTCTTCTTGGCCCGATGCCTGAGTCCACGGCCCGTAGCCTTCTGTCGATACGTTGATCGATCCACCGGCCCAACGTCCAATCTTCTGACATGTTCCTCCGGCCAACATGATTTTCCTGCTTTAATTATCTTATCCTGATCGAAGTATCCTGCATCACTCAAAACATAGATTAAATTATAAACATATATCAAGTTGTTTCATTATCAAAATACGAGATTCAACACTAGACAATAGTGTAAATAATTTCAAATAGTTTGGAGCTGAAAGATGTTCTAAAAAATATCCTATGACTTTTATTATTAAGGCAATCATCCTAATGAGTAGTAATTCTACTTGATTTAGAAGTTGGAAGGGAATAACGAGTAATTAGCTACTGTAAAATAGAGGATCATGGATGACCAAGGTGACGATGTCATACATCGATTAGAATTACAATTGAAGAAAGAGCAATTAGTTAAATGATTTGTAAACCTAACAAATATTTGTAGATATATTTTTATTCTATCTTCGAACTAAGGATGCTCTCGTGCTCAGATCCTTTACAAGAAATGAGCTAGGAAAGAATTAAATAGAAGTTTTGTTTTGTTTGTAGAATTGAGAAATAAAAATAAGATTCTTTTTGATGTGAGGTGCATTCAAAATATTGAGTGTAAAAATATTTATGTGCAAATTAAATATTATGAAACTACTATAAGTGATAAGGATTCCGTTACCGTCACCAATGATGATATTTTCATTACCTCCATAGTTGATATGGATGAATAAATTTTGTAGATTAGAAGTTATATGATGAGAAGCACTAGAGTCCCAATCCAATTGCTTGGATAAGCAATTGAAATAGTCATGATGTTTACTTGAGGCTAGTTGAGTGTAATAGTAGACTTAAGTTGAGATCGATAAACTTTTGTTATGTATCCAATTTTATCATAGAGTTGGTAGATAAGTTTTTATTAATTGTTGGGATATCAGAACCGTTGATAATTATAGTGATTATCGTTGAAGTTATTTATTGAGTTTTCTAGATTAAAATTACCACTATGGTTGGAGAGTTGATAGTGTAATAGAGGATGATGGCTCTATTATTTGTCATATGTCAACGAGACATCTTATTTGATCCTTTATTGAAATTCTTATTACTTTGATTATCATCTCTTTTGAATTTTTAATTGAATTGAGTATAGTTAGTACTGTCTTCCTCTCTTCTTATTTTAGATATATTTCATGATCAAATTAACTTGTTATATAGTTCTTCAAATAATATTTGTGAATCACATGCCCGAATTGCTATTGTTAGTTTTTTATATTTATCTCCCAAGCCATTGAGAGTGTGAAAAATGACTTTTTTATCACTCAAAGGATGACATATTAAAGTCAAGTTATCTATAATAACTTTTAGATTTTGTATATAATTAATAATAGTACTTCCCTCTTGTGTTGTATTTATCAAAATAGATAAAAAAAACTTAGCATGCAAATGAGAATATAATTAGCGATGGTGGTTTATAACTTAGTCATTATTTCTACTATAGTATTGTATGAAGAGCTTAGTGATACTATAGATCCAACGATTGAGACTTGAATGACTCTTAGAATAAGATGATCTTGTCATAACCATAACTTATAATAAGGATTTGTCATTGGGAAAGGTTCTCTAAGTATCTAGATTTTTTCTAGTGGACTACTAAGAGAGTCATTGATGTGGCCTAATAGATCATATAAAAAAAGGAGATTAGTGAATTGTGCTAGTCAAGATGCATAATTGCTATCTTTAGATTGAGATGAACTATTGTTTCTAAGAAAATAATAATTAACACGTTAGAGCTGAAAGAGAAAGATGACATGGATGTTGAATGTGGTTGGATACTGGAGTATCTATCGTTAAAGAGAGAGAGTTGGCACCGTGCACAAACAGGAGGTCGAGTACCGTTGGATTAATGTAGATTAGATTAGAAGACAATTTGCTGATCAAAAGATCTAAGTAGATCAGATTAGTGTAGTCTACTATCACAAATCAATATTACTATGAGTATTTGTTGTCGAGAAAGCAGAAAAGAGTAAGAGGATGATCGATGGAGGAGAACGATCATCGAAAAAACAAAATCATCATCGGAGGAGAGAGGAGTCAACGACTCTGGCTGCAGACATGCGTTAGGGGTAGATCATCTACTGTGATATAAGGAGACATGTTGGCGATGCTGCTGAGAAGACCGAGGGAGGAGAGCCTATGTGTGAGTGTTGTAGGTAGCGATACAACTATGTTCGATCACTGTCAACAAAGAGATGGAGAGAGAAATATTGTCATTCAGTGGTAATATCCAATCATCATGTTTGTTTAGCGGACATTGGGAAGATTTAATCGTCGATCAATGGAACAAGGGAGGACTCGAACCAGCGAAGGAGAGGCCTCCAACGATGATTAAGCCTCTGCCAATCACCTGTTCGATTGGGCCCCATGGTGGATGCCACAGTAGGTTGCAATTTCTGGTAGTAGATTTGCTAGCCGAGTGCTTGTTGTCTGACGAGGAGCTGGAGGAGGCGTCGGTGAGGAGAAGTCGCTATTGTTCCTACAGTGGCGACAACAAAATAGCAAGAAGAAAACCTTGCTTAGCAGCTAAGAAGAGGAATTGCTATCGCCAAACAATAAGGAGCTTTGATACCATGAATAATTAAAGAATTTATTGTGAGAGGAATGATTTTATTTATTGAGATAATTTATATTTATATAGATTTTAAAAGAAAGACTTTTCTCTGTACTCAAATTATGTATTCAAATACGATAGATCTTCAAATATAGATTGATTGCGGATTAGAACATATAAGGAAGCAAAATTATGATTTCATTTTTAACTCTATCATAATCTTTTATCACATATAACTGTATTATTAATATCATTTTATATTTTTGTTATCCTAAAAAGCTTGTAGGATTGGGGAAGATAGCGAAACTCATAAATGCTGGAAAATTTGATTCTTTAGAACTCATCACTATGAAAACCCTCAACGTACTTGGCGTTTTTGTCATCTCTGATTTATTCGACTTCCTTCCAAATTTCTGTGGCTTTTAGAATACAGGTGCAATGGGGAAGCAGATAGAAGATGGTGTTAGGTTGATGACTCGTGGTCCTGAACAGATCATATCCAATGACCAATACACGTAGTCGTAAGCTACCTTTAGCAGCAATCTTAACTTGGATTTAAACTTCTTATGTGATATCTACTTGATTGCTGGGTCGTCTCGAGCATCACCAAATCTCTATGTCGCTTACCCTTATCAGTGATCAACGCAATCTATTTGATTCTGTGTGCGTTCTAGTTAACATGGCCAGCCCAATACCTTTTTACAACCCAAGAGAAAGATTGCAGCTGCAGCTGCTTAAGCCACACACTTTGCAATCCTATTGGAATGTTGATCATTTTTTTTCCTTGTCATATGATTTCTCTGTAATGACTAGTGTGGATCTTATCATATAACCATCGTCCTGAGATTATGATCATGATAAGATCATAGTTAGTCCTATATATTCTCATTGTTACGGCATAAAGTATCAAGGATGAACAACCATGTGTTTTACCATTATTTCACCACATTTATTCAACCAGCATAATCACAGTAGATAGATGACCACTTGCATGGCACGAACACGGTACATATATGACTGCTTGCAAGACAACTTCATGATGCATCTCTGAGCTCACCGCGCAGTTAACTCACATCAGACGGTGGACCCGAAGAGTCTCATGAACCCATAGGTCACAGCCATGGCCAACCATCCCCCTGCCACCACTCTAAAACACGACCTCCCCACTGGAGCTCGGCCCAGCGCCGCCCCGACGCACCCGAAGACCACTAGCCCAGCACTGGTCGCCGCCGCCGCCACCCCCAACCTCACCCTATAGCTGCTTATAAACCCGGCCGCCAGCAGCGGCACCACCGCCCCCAGCGAGAACGCCAGCGCCGATGCCGCTGCAGCCTGCAGCGGGCTCGGCAGCCCCTCCCCACCCGTCCCGTCGCTGCTCTCCCCCTCAACCTTCGTCTGCTGCTCCCTCTTCCGCTGCGCCACCTCTATATCCAGCTGCGAGTACACGGAGACGAACTCTCCTATGGCCATGCTGCATGCACCGGCGACGAGGCCGGCGAAGCCGGAGACGATCATGGCTTTGGCGTCACCCTTCACGGCCCCGACGCCCATCATGAGCGAAGCAGTGGAGACGAGCCCGTCGTTGGCACCGAGGACGGCGGCACGCAGCCACTGTGCTCTCTGCGAGTAGTCGTGCTCCTCGACGTGTGGCACTTGGCTTTCGATGCCATCAGTGGAAAGCGTGGTTCTGTCGAGAGCCATGGGAAGAAGTGCAAGTGTAGATACAGAAACAGAGAGTAATAGAAAGGTAGCGTGGTGGACACACGCCACAGGTAGGTCTTTATAGTGGATGATGGCGGTGGCACAGAGATCGAGAGAAGGGTGCCTCCATGCGCCAGGATAGCAAATAAGAAATGACACCATTCTTAAAGTTCATGTAAAGAGTCGTGCGTAGCAATTACATGTTCTCTCACAAGAAGTTGGGTAGGTAGAAGAACAAGATAACCTAACCATTCTATTAAGAACTACTGTAGTTCTTCATGGACCAAAGTATATACAGTTCAAGGATTCCTCAGGTTTCAGGTTGCCATCGGAGACCCACTCCCAGAGGATTAATTTGAAGCATCAATGGATTCCATTGGAGAAAGAGTGGCTCTATCAATCTTAGTTAAACAATGTTTACGAAATTTCCAGGAAATGACCAAATCTATTGTTTACAGAAAAAACTTCATTCTTTATCTTTTCTCCGGGGATATGTCTGAAACCAGACTTACGTCTTCTTTTTCAGCTGGTCATTCCTTTTCGTGTGTTTTAAGTATTTATTCTTATTTTCCTGGGAAATAATGACATATCTCCATCTCCAAGTGATAAGGAGGTGTTAGAATATGTACATATTGCTCATGACGATTGCTGAATAGATGAGCACCGGAGATACTACAATAATGTCAGTAAATAATGGGAAGGAAGCATGTATTCCACACGACAGCCATCGCCAGCCACCCCACTCATCTGTGTCGACCAGCCATGGCCATTAGAGGGCTCTCACTAATGTTTTATATTGTTCTCTTTTCTCTCAGGCTATCAAGGTTGGTTTCCTGTCTCCATCTGCTCTGGGGTGGAGTCTCCTCGACTATTTGTTTATCTCACTAATCATGTTTCCTGCACACCTTTTACGCTGGTCGTGTATTGTTTATGTGATGCCTGCCCTTTGGAGTGGCTCAGAGGGCATTCAGGTGATGTTGGGCTGCTAATCAAAGGTTGGAGATCCCTTCTATGCCTTTTTAGGTTGGATTCCAACCATCATTTACACGAAGCTTTCTCTTTGACAAAATTGAGCTGCAGATATATGGAGATGTATTCCCTGAAACCAAGTGAAGTCACAGCCAAAATGAATCAGCTTACACTGTGTGCAACGTTTTGGGTGATTAGGAATCGTCCATTGCACAAACCTCTCATCGATAAACCATTGCATCGTTCTTATTAGGGGTTTTTCAAAAATAAAAATAAAAACATTAAAACTACCATTATTATGCCCTTATATTTTTATCGAATGATGTTCTTCTCTTGTTGACTACCAATTGGGTGGATGTAAGCTTGATCATGGTTTGGTTTGAATTGAACCAAATCAAATCGGGCCAAAATTAGAATCGAATCAAAATGTGATTTGGTTCTGATTCCTAGGTTTGAAAATTGAAATCAGTGATTCAAATCATGTGTTCTTTAATCTTAAATTATTTTTATAATTTAAAATAAATTTAATTTTTTTATATTTTAAAATTTAAAATTTAAAATAATGACAAAATTGGTTGTTCAAACAGGAATCGAAACCATCAATTCTAATTCCTAGTTTTAAAGAATTGAAATTCATGTAATTGGTAAACTTTTATGTTAACAAATGTGGTGATTCATAATTGGACTAAAATACTTTTAAAAAATTAAAAAAAATTATTACATCAAATATCATAGATGATGCTCACACATGAACACAAACCTAAGACCTATCACTTACATAACAATACACTGACCAATTAAGAATTCTCAATATAGTTTTTTTTTTCTTCAATTTTCAAGCCTAAGTTCCCTTAACTTTTTCTTACAATTTTTTTTATTCATTTATACAATTGGTACTCAAATGTCATTTCGATATCTTTTTTCTATTCATTTAGTTGAAGCATTCCCATTAATTCTAGTTTGATACGAGATCGAGAAATACACTTTAGATGACGATTTCGTGTCTCCGAGTTTCATCTTATTAACTCCCTATTTAATTTTATAATATTTTGAACCGTTCTAGTTGTGATGTGATCAGAGATTTAAATTTTTCTTACTGCTATAACAAATATTTTAACAAATATTAGCCTTGGATTAAAATTTTAACTCGCCCAAATCCACTTCGAGACAGTGTGAGATCTTTACCGCCGCATCAGTTACACCCACGGCAACGGGATTCGAGCATATCTGAAATGAATCAAAGTCTCTAGAGCCCAAGACAACAAACGAGTCTCGAGACCCATAGAGCCCTTCGCTAGGCTTGAAGAATACCATCGTGATTAGGACCATCAGGCATAGAGCCTACCATGATTAACGCACCTCATAAAAATCAAGCATTCCCCACGCTTCGACCTGCTGATGGCCAAAGCTATCACGACAAATTCATACTCTCGCTACGACGATCGAGATAAGACCAGCTACGGTAGATTTGTACTCTCGCTACGATGATCGAGCCGAGGTTCGTCAAAAGGAAGAATGTCAAAACTAGTGCCCTCTCCTGAAAGCAACATAAGGAGAGCTCGTCGTCAACCTCTCAAAGTAGAAGGGGGAGACAAAAACAAGACTCGCTACGGTGGAAGTCACCACTACGGATTCATACTCCTGCTACGGTGGTCAAGCCGAGGTCCGTCAAAAGGCACTCTGTGCAACATTTGCATGAAGTTATGGCGGAACTTACTTCTAGAGTGACATCACTCATAAGGGTACTAAATGTGGGAGGGAGCAACACCCGCATTGCACGGCCACAAAACCTGAGAGCACCTAAGCCTCATTGCTATGAAGGTGTTAGGGAAGCAAAAGAGCTCGAGAATTTTTTGTTTGATATGGAACAGTACTTTTGAGCTACAAGGCCTAATTCTGAAGATACCAAAGTTTTAATAGCAACCATGTATCTGATTGGGGATGCAAAACTTTGGTAGCGAACCCATTGGAAGGAGATCCAATAAGGTTGATATCGAGTAGACACATGAGAGGACTTAAAGCGAGAGTTGAGAACTCAGTTCTTACCCGAGAACACAGAGTTCGTCAAAAGGAGGAAGTTGAAACAACTCTGCCAATGTACTTTCATCTAAGACTACGTGAAGTAATTTTCTACGCTAATACTAGGCATACATGACATGTCCGAGAAGGATAAGCTATTCAGCTTCCTCGATGGCCTAAAACCATGGACTCAATAAGAATTACATCGAATGAATGTCACCGATGTGATCGAGGCAATTGTGACTACAGAAAGGCTCACCGACTTTGTTTTCTCATAGGACTCAGGGAAAAGAAAATAATCTTTAGGAAATAGCCCTTCAAAATATTCTCGAGGGAAGGAGCCCGGGGATGAACAAAGGAAGAAGAGTTCCAACAAAGGGCCAAGCTCAAAAGACAAAGCCCCAACACTTGGCGAATGCTTCTTGTGCGGAGGGCCGCACATGGTGAGGGAGTGCCTATAGAAACTAGCATTCAATACTTTAACAATTTCAATCCACCCCCCCAAATTAGACAGGGGCAAGGGCGTCGCCCTCAGTTTAAGCATTTTAGAATCCAATAGCGACGATGAGGAGCGCAAGGTCCCTGAATGAGAGTAATGCATTTGTTGAATGCATTACGGGGTAAAGTGGGGGAGAACATAAAAGCAAAGCCATTAAAAGCAGGGAGTATGATGTACGTGGACATTAAGCTCAATGGTCAAACAACCTATACAATGGTAAACACGGGCACTACTCACAACTTTATTGTCGATCGAGAAGCAAAGCGACTTGGGCTGATCTTAGAAAAGAACCCAAGTCGGATGAAGGCGGTGAACTCGAAGGCCAAGTGGATCTCTAGGTTGGCAAAGGGTGTCCCCATCAAGATCGAAACATGGAGTGGGAGCACGAACATAATGGTGGTGCCATTGGATGACTTCCAAGTGATTCTTGGAATGGAGTTTATGCACGTGGCGAAGTTGGTGCCATTGTCATTCCTAAACTCCCTATGTATGATAGGAGGTGATGACCCCTATGTGGTTCCCGTCTCTCGGAGAAGAACTAGGGACCCCCAACAGATATCAGTATTACAACTAAAGAAAGGGGTATGAAAAGGCGAATTAACATTCGTGGCTGCTGTGAAGCTAGAGCCAGTCGATGAGGAGGCCATTCATGAACCTACTATGGTGGCAAATGTTCTGAAGCAGTTCATAGATGTTATGCCACCCGAGTTGCCGAAGACTCTACCGCCACGCAAAGGCATGGATCATCATATCGTTAAAATATCCAAAATATCATTAAAAAACTAGAAAAAGCTCTAGGTTCTATCCCAAAATATAGTTGGGATTCGATGGACTTGCACTATAAAGGCCGAATAGTTGTAGCACCATATTCTTTTTGCCAGGGGATAATTCTGAAGGAATTCCATTCATCACCAATTGCTAGTCATTCCGGATTTCTCCGCACTTATAAGTGCGTCCGACAACTTTTTTACTAGACAAGTATGAAATATTTTAACTAAGGAAATATTATTCAGTCTTTTGACAAACCCTTGGAGGCTGATCCCCTCGAAGTGATCATCCCTTTTCCCTTCTTTCTTTGACAATAAGACCCTAGGGTCTTATCATTTGGTATCAGATCCACGTTATTTGGTATAAAACGTCGGTTTGAAAAATCTTCATATGATAAAATCGATTTTAGAAAGATATTAACTTGAAATATGTTTGGAAGAGTGTGCAGCAAAAATAATGAGGAAGTAAAGCGGTTTGCAATAAGATAAATAGTAAAACAGAAATACAAACCATTTTATAGTGGTTCGGTCATTGTGATTTACATCCACTCCACCGATTCCTCTTCCGTCGAGGCCATCGACATCCACTAACGATCTTCCTTCAATGGGCAAAGATCAACGACCCTTACAATTTGATTCTCCTTTTGACAAGTTCAGGAGAGAACCTTTACAACCCCCCTTCACTCATCTCTTAAGCAAGACTAACACTTTAGAGTTTATGGAGTTCACACAAGATTACAACAGTATTTTCTTTTCTTTTTGCTCTCAATTGTGTGTTTTAACTAGGGATGGGAGGGGTATTTATAGGCCTTAATTTGATTCAAACTTAGAGCCTAAAAATGTCTCATCCTGGGTCCTAGCGGTACCACCGTCTGTGTTAGGC